GCAAAGGGTTATGATGGAGGGGTGTTGCAACTCATGAACACCTGCCAAGTGGTATGATAGCATTGTTTTATACATGTCCTCGGCTAGGCCTCAATTTCAAAATCAGTCCTTGGTCCTTGGCCTTGGCCTTGGCGGCAAGTCCTTGGTCCTCGGCCTTGGCCTCGGAAAATTTTTCAAGTCCTTGGCCTTGGCCTTGCCTCGGAAAATTTTCCAAGTCCTTGGCCTTGGCCTTGGCCTCAGAGGCAAGTCCTTGGCCTTGGCCTTGGCCTCGGGTTGCCGGTCCTTGGACACATCCCTGACACACACACACACACACACAGACACATATATCTATTTATATAGATATAGATATCTTATCTATCTATATATCTATATCTATATGTAGATATAGATATATAGATATGTAGATATATGTGTGTGTGTATATATATTAGAGGTAAGATCTGTCCTAAAAAATCGAGCCCGACCCGGCCGAGCCCGATTTGCAGGCCCGAGCGCGAAGCAAACCCGACATTTCATATTTTATTTGTGAGTATTTTTGGGAGAAAAAAACACAAGATTTCTTACGGTTAAAATAATCTACATATTTTTATGAACATGATCAATGCATTTGCACAACGAAATAACGCTGAAATACAGAATAAGAGGCCAGACAAAGAGAAATTTCGATGTGCATTTGCTTGATTACGCAGAGAAATCCTGCGGCTTACTAGGCTTTAAATAGAATAATTCAAATCAAATAAATAGGTAAAGATATCTGAAATTATTTCTATAGGATTGATTAAACGAAATTAACATACGTGCGCACTGCGTCTGGCCGGCTGCGCTCCTGTTTAGCAGTTAAATAGCAATTAAATTACAGCGCATTCTCTGTTTTATCCAAATTGTTTGTTTTAAAACAAGTATTCCTTAGTTTAGTATCCGCACATCGTTTTAGTATACATTTTTTAAAACATATATCGTGGCAGTCATCAGGAGCACACACGATTGACTGTAAACACGTCTTTATTCCACGACTGCCGACAAGTGGATCTATTCTGAACAAGGACAGAATAGTGTCCACCATAATATTTATTAAAAGAAAAATAAATAAAAGTCCGCGAGAGAGAAGCCCGACCCGAACCTGTTTTACTTCCGCATTCCTGTCGTTTTGGTCCGCAGCAGAAACTGCACGTGTGACCGCAGGTGGAGCTGCGGACGCTGCGCCGGAGTTGTCACGCTCAGCGGTTTTGCACGTGTGACCACTCCACAAAATTTGCTCCGGTGTAAAATACATCGCAACAAATATTTCGGTGCAGCGTCGGACCAAAATGTGCTGTGTGAACAGGGCTTTAGACTGAAGATCTAAAGGGACCAGGTTCAAACCTGGTTTTTGGCATATGAGGCACAGGAATTGTTTTTGTTGTGATTACTGGACGACAATGTGACTCTGGCCGAAAAGATCCCATTGATTGACTTGTGAAAAGGCCTTCATTCACATCAATTTTTTACAACAGAATTGTGTTTTGGAGGTTAATCTCATTCTGTGTGGCAGTCAATGAGCATTGAGAATACTTCAAGTGGTTCTCACTTTCCAGTTATGAATAGAATCAGAAATTAAAAAAAAATAAATAATAATAATAAACAAACAAACAAATAAACCTGAAGAAGGCGTGGACACTCTGTGATCATGTGAGCCAGGCCTTGAGTCGCAGACAAGATCGAGTTCAAGTCCTTCTGATCTGGTCGGCCACTGCCATACTTTCTCTGGATGGACCTTCACCGTCATTTGAAGGACAACAGTGAAGATCATTCAGTTCATGATCAACAATTCACCCGGAGTATGCTGAACGAGTCCAACACCCAATACTTTTTGTTGCTGCAGTTTATTATAAATTTTGCAGATTGGACTGCACAGCAACGACGTACCTTGGCAAGAGCATGTTCCTCTTGGTTTGGCTGAGGTGGAAGAGGGACGGCACCAGGCAGACGGTGAGGTTGGCGGCCGTCATCTGGTTTTCATCAACCTGTGCTCCCGCATCGCGCAGGAAATAGAGCAGCGTCTGCAATGCTTGGCGGTTTTTGTCCGCCATCAACAAGATGGCTGCCTGCATCGCCTGCAAACACTGCCTGCTCCTTGGGTACGTCTGGGGTGTGAGTTGACAAAATATCGAGACGTTGTGGTAAAATGTATTGTGATGAATTCTGAACTCAGTCAAGTATTGACACAATGACATGCTGGCAGAATGCATTACTCCCTCAAACTATTACCGCTGAATAATCCCTGGACTCTCAGCATGAACCATCCGAAAATCCACAAAGGTATTTTAGCAGAAGGCTTGGCGACCTACACTGGTAGATGTGCAGGAAGGCTTCTCCCAGCTTGTTGCTCAGTAGGGGCTCCAGAAAGTCCCGGAAGAACTGCTTCACCATGTCGGCCATATCATGGGCCGAATGCTCCTCGTAGTCCACGCCATCCGGAGAGGTATCGCACCGATGACGCAGTGCTTGGATGCGAGACTTTGCACGGGACTTGCGGAACAGGCCCACCTGGAGGGAAACCCATCCAAGATTAGAAGACAGTAAAGCATTCCATGAGAATTCCATAATTGGTCAAATGTTGTCTTTTGTGGCAAAATCTTGTGTTTTATTTTTATCTTTAAGATCTGCTTGCCGCAAGTACCTGGTCCCGACAATGCAGCATGAGGTGGGAGAGAGCCTGCTGTAGGCAAAGGGGCAACGGGAAGCCGCAACGTCGTATGTGCATGAGGAGCGGGACCCCAAAAACGCTCTTGTCCTTGGAGTCGGGAGACTTTATGCGCTTCATGAATTTTGGTCCAGACCTGCAAGGAAACAGGATGAGTCTTCAATTGTGATGTTTTTACACACAAGGAAAATGTTGATCACAATCAACATTTCAAAGAATTTGTTTCTGAGGGACCCATGACAAAATTACCCTGTTATGGCCACTTCAAAACAAAATGGCTGCCTTTCTGTGCTTGCCATGCTGCGAAACAAAATTGGCTTTTTGGGCTGAATTAAAAATGCAAAAACAGGTTGGGTGGACCTGAAACAATTGATCCGAAAATGGGCCGCAAAAGGCAAGTCAGTAGCGAGCAGACGCTCTTGTACCCACCAGGTCCAACCATGCTTGTTGCACATTTATTCGAACAAGTCATAATACAATTCTCAATAAACAGAAAACAAAATGAACATGTTATTAATGCATACACATATTCCAAACATTGAAACAAAAAAGAAGCCAGGGCATTTTAAACAAAAATTTCAAATAAGGAGCATATAGCCAGAGTTTTAACAGCTTTCTTGTTTTTAGAATCCATAATAGAACTTAGGTACTGTTTTATTTCTGTTTCAAAAATTAAGAAAAGAGGTTTTAAATTACTCCATCTGGATTTGTGGATATGGAACTTGGCGAGAATAATTATTAAATTTATAATGAAGGTTTGTTTAGTATTTTTTTCCTTACTTTCGTAGAACCCAAATGGTACATTTTTCCAGTATAGCATAAAGTCAGAGTCAATTCGATCAATAATAAATCTGGATACAGCTTTCCAAAATGTGTTGGTATACGGGAATTGCCAGAACAAGTGAACCATTGTTTCAGCGTACATTCCACAAAATGAACAATCAACAGAGTTGTCTTTCTTGAGCCTAAGAAGATAATGCTTGGTGGGATAGTATTTGTGTATCATTTTAAAAGAGATTTCCCTTACTTTATTAGTCAGGAGGTATTTGTATGGCAGAGACCAGATTTTTCCCCGGTGTAGATTATCAACAAAACCAGACCAGTCGGTAATAATGTGTGTGATTGTTGAAATATCTTTTTGAAACAGGGAATTGAACACGTCTGCTCACAATGGAAAGCAACACGAGGAAGCGTCACTTCCTCGTCGACCTGAGGAAGCGTCACTTCCTCGTGTAAGGAAGGCGAGAGGAGTCAAATGGTGCATTCAAGTGCGCTCAGTTTGTTCGAGAACTGAAATTTGTTCGTCATCCGAGGCATTTTCACTTTCAATTTCAGTTTTGATTTCTCTAAACAGCCAGTGGGAGCGAGCGAGCGACAGCCAGCGGTCGTTTGGGGCTCCCGTTTGTCTGGGTCTCCAGCGGCGGTTGACACATTGGCTCGGCGCTGGCAGTTGAGATAACACCTGAGGGGCCAGCGGCGGTCGACCCATTGGTCAGACATAAGCACAAAAATCCACCCCAAAAAACCAACCGGCCGATCGGTGAGCCTGGCGGCGGCGGCGGCAGCACGACACACTCGACCACCGAGGCAGCGTGAGCAAGCGATAGCCAACCAGCGTGATTGAGCAGGGGACTCTTCGGAGCTCCAGTGGCGGTCGGCCCTATGGGAACGGCGCTAGCAGCTGGAGCTACCACCACTTGAGGCCAGCCTGCCGAACAGTTAACCCGGCAGCAGCGTCAGAAAACTCGGGCACCGCGGCAGTGTTGTCTGGGGAGGCCACAGGCCCACTGCCACGTCACCAACATCCGGGTTGGCAGAAAGACCTCAGTACACGTCATCAACCAGCTCACAGCTGGCGAGCAACGAAACCCGAAAAAGGCCGCCTCAACGGGGACAAGATATTAAACAGGATGAAGAATTGATGACCCTTACGCAAGTCAACGAACTTCTCATCCAACAAAAAAAACTGTTCACAGCACTCATGCAGCAACAACAGGATCACTTCAAAGGATTTGTAAAGATGATATTGGACTCAACAAACACACGACTCGACAATTTTTCCAGGGAAGTACAAGAACTGAAAACGAGTCTTAATTTCACCCAAAAGGAGGTCGATGACATCAAAAAACAACAAACGAATGGATCTGACCATTGCAAAACCATTCAAACTGAAATCTTCAAAGTATGTGACAGTATGCTGGTTTGAACCGACAAGATGGACAACTTAGAGGGACTATCTAAAAGAAATAACTTGATAATCGATGGAATTGAAGAAATGGAAGGAGAAACGTGGACTGAAACGGAGCAAAAAGTGCAAAAAATCTTCATCAAAGGGACGGAGGGCCAGATAAAAATTTTTGCTGCAAGCCGAGGGCCGGACTGATCGAATGTTCATTGAAAATTTTAAAAATGACCACATATTGTTTATTGAACCAAATTTAATTGACTGAAAACCTAACAAATACATTCCAATACGGTCAGATAAATAAAGCAACATTTTTTTATGGCTATGTCAGTAAACTTTAATTTTCAACAGGCAAAAAAAAATTTCCTTTGTATAAAAATACCCATAACATGAATGAAAGAAGCCGATATTATTCAAGG